CTACCATAGTCGCACAGAGAGGTTGATGTTTTGAGACGACACTCCAAAATAATGACATCGGTCCATCCCAGGCGTGCGCGCCGTCAGCTTCCCATTTTTTTTCGATTGCGGCTTCCATCTTGAGTGTTCCTCGCCTCGAGAGTCACTCATTGTCAGTCGCTGCTAATGAGGTATGGGCGATGATATCAAAAAATGCGTCTCGAGGCCGCACTCGACGTACGCGCCGTGAATTAGACAGGGCAGAGGATACGTCCGCTCGAGTTGTCGAGCGATGCTAGGACAGCGAGGGGTGGAGGCCTCGGTCGACGTCTCCATCGGAAATGATCGGAAAACTAGGATTCCGTCCACACATCAACGAGACCCAAGCGTGTCCAGTGAATCAGCGATTTCACGAAGAACACGAAGACAAGGAAGAGGATCTAGGCCCCTACGGACGAGACGCGAGACCCGGCGGACCTCGCTGCATTCTCGGACTCGAGGTCACGCCTAGTAATAATATCACAACCATGCAATAGGAGGATGGATGCAGTGCACTCGAGCGGTCCGATAGACTGACTGACGGACGGACGCAAGAAACGGCCAACCGTCCAATCTCGTACGCGGACGCTATCGCAGGATCGATATAGTATGGCGTATGACGTAGCCTTCAGAGGCACTGTACGTTGTCAACAAGGGGCCGATTGTTGCCTCGCTCCATGTTCGGCGGAACTCGCTGAGCTCGTCAGAGCCTCAGCGGGCTATCCGGCGACCGACATGATTCCCAGAGACGAAAATTGATTTTGGCAATATTGCTATCGATTGTTGGTTAATCAGCAGTAGGGGAGAAGTCCTGCGCGCACAAACGTCTGATCTATTCGCGATGAGAACTAAACGAGATTTTCTTCCGCAGATGAGTGGACATGTGGCTGGGAGTTTCAGGTGGGGCCAGTGGCTTAGCTAAATGTAAGCTAGCACTGTGCCGATCTATGGCGACCATACTTCGTTCGATGTCGACGCGGACGCTGTTCGCTATTTCTTATCAACACATGGCTGGTGGTTACTCTGTGCGTTGGACGCGTGGACGCGAGGGCAGCTCATCTCCTCCACCATCACAGACATCGTACGGCTGGTAACGCGCAATCACAGGGGGACCCCCTAGTGGTCCACACGACTAAAGGTCCGGTCCGAGGAATAACGCTTCAGGCATCGAATGGGAAACTTGTCGACGCCTTCCTCGGTGAGTCCACGTCCTGATGGGGTTCACCATCTTGCTTCGAAATCCTAATTATTATTGGCGCTTTTTCTTTTCTCCGGAAACTTCCGATTGCGAATTTCTCCGACGATACGGGGCGCGACAAGTCAAGCCGAGGAGAGAATGGAAGTGATTTGGAAATTTTCTCATCGCAGGAATTCCGTATGCTAAACCCCCAGTGGGTAAAATGCGTTTCCGACATCCTGTGCCTATGGACCCGTGGGAGAAGCCACTCAACGTGACAGAACCTCCCGCGACATGCGTCCAAGTTGTCGACACATATTTCGACGACTTCGAGGGTTCAACAATGTGGAATGCCAACACAAATATGAGCGAAGACTGCTTAAACATGCTCGTCTGGGTACCGCGACCGCGGCCGACGAACGCCGCCGTCCTGCTGTGGGTCTACGGAGGCAGCTTCTACTCGGGCTGTGCCACACTGGATGTTTACGATGGGAAAATTCTCGCCAGTGAAGAAAACGTAATCGTTGTATCATTCAACTATCGGGTTGGCTCTCTAGGCTTCCTCTACCTCGATCACGCAGACGCTCCGGGCAATGCAGGCATGATGGACCAAGTTATGGCTCTACGATGGGTCCAGGACAATATACACTTGTTCGGAGGTAACCCGAACAACGTGACTTTGTTCGGGGAAAGCGCAGGTGCCGTCAGCGTTGCCTACCACCTCCTCTCGCCTCTTTCGAGAGACCTATTTTCTCAAGTAAGTAGCAGCGCCGCTCCGCCACCGGTTCGGCTGAAAACTCGCTATCATCATACCCCTATATCGCTCGACGACTACCTCCATCGGCCTCCTGCCCTTCCGCGAAGCCACCGACAGGCGAGCGGATACACCGAAAAACCTCTGAATTGCATGATTACGAATTGCGACCGAAGAATGTCCGAGGAATTGGGAGAAGAATCCCCGATATCTGGCAACCGCTGCCATGGTTCTTCACAAGTCCCGAGAAGCCTTGGAATTTTTTCATCAGAGTCTGACTCCGCTAGATCGGGGGCGAGCAAGGTTCCCTCCTGGATTGGCAGGAATCTGAGCCTCCACGACATTCGGCAGCGGTTTTCCACTTGTTCTCTGACCTCATATTATCTTTTTCAGGCCGTACTCCAATCTGGGGGTGCAACTGTTCCCTGGGGGTACAACGAGCGTCAAACTGCCATAACGAATGGCTACAAGCTTGCGGAGGAAGTCAAGTGTCCCACAGACGACGTGGAAGCCACCATAAAGTGCCTTTCGACTTCAGGACCCCGACTACTTGTAAAGTCGGAGATCTTCGCCACCGGGGTCGTGGACTTTTCATTCATTCCCGTGGTTGACGGCGCGTTTTCTCACAGAGCGACCAGAGGATTCAATGAGCTCAGGAAACTTCAAAAAGTGCAAAATACTTCTCGGATCAAATCGCGACGAAGGAACTTATTTCATAATCTACTATCTCACTCAACTTTTCAAACGAGACGAAAACGTTTATCTCACGAGAGAGGACTTCGTCGACGCCGTCCAGGCTCTCAGTCCCTTTACCTCTTCGGTGAGTCTTCTCGAGACGAAGCCCGCCCGTACGCCAATTCGTTCGCTGATTTCTCCCCGGGAGAGACGTCAGAGAAGCTACCATGAATGATAACGATGGAAATATAAACCACGATACGTTCGTCGAGTGAGATGAAAATTTTCCGCGCAGGTGGTGAACGAAGCCATCATTTTTGAGTACACGGACTGGTTGAACCCTGACGATCCGATCAAAAATCGAGATGCCGTCGATAAAATTGTTGGCGATTATTACTTCACATGCCCAGTAATCGATATGGCGCACTATTATTCATCAGCCGGACTCGATGTCTACATGTACTACTACGTGTACCGCTCATCTCAGGTGAGTAGCGGCGCGCCTGCAGCCGTTCCGAGCCTTGTCGAGGGGAAGATTCTGGGATTCAAATTCTCGGAGTCCTCACCGCTCAGAGCCGCACGACAGACTCAGCGAGCCCTCAAGCAGGTCGACCGGTCGAACGGCGCAGCCGCTCTCTCGGAGTCCCGCACTCGGTGGGAGGAAACGCGTCCGAGTTGCGATACATAATTGAACGGAGTGAAGGCATTGTGCGAGCTCGGCAATGTCGACGGCGAATAGTATGACACGGGTTCCTGCCGTTTGTCGTCGTTTTGGCCGGAGCCGTAGCTGTCGCTTTGTCCTAAGATTTCTCCTCTCATTCCTCAGAATAAATGGCCGGAGTGGATGGGAGTGATCCACGCCGACGAGATTGCTTACGTCTTCGGCGAGCCGCTCAACCAGACATGGTCTTACCGCCAAGACGAACAGATGTTTAGTCGCCGCATAATGCGGTACTGGGCCAATTTCGCGCGAATGGGGAACCCGAGCCTGAACCCCGACGGAAATTGGGAGAAAACGTATTGGCCAGCGCACACAGCGTTCGGTAAAGAGTTCCTCATCCTCGACGTCAACTCCACGCAAGTTGGATATGGGAACCGGGCGAAACATTGCGCGTTTTGGAAGAACTTCCTTCCTAACCTCATTGCGCTATCGGGTGAGTTGGGGGCCGGATGAGGCTTTCCGGAGATTTCGGATTGGCCAGAACGATTCGAAATCTTCCACAGACCAGAATCGGGCGGTGACGCGCCGAGGAGGCAGGCGAGAAACGCGGTCTCATGGTCTCGTTCATCCTTCCAGGCAACAACACAAACAAAGCAGATGAAAGCTGTAAGGACGGAGCGAGTACGCAGAGCTCGTCCTCTTTGACACTTCTATGTTCTCTGGCCGCGAGCATGATTGTTACGGGTCGTCTTCTGTCTTCATCAACGGCAAGAGCGGCATAGCTCCAGTTTCAGACAACAGGGTCTACAGTCTAGCGATGACGTCATCGGATGCAGCAGCAACACCAGCAGCAACCGCTATCGCGATTCAAGCATCGCTGAATACTGAATTTCTCAGACTGACCGAGGAGAAAATGTTTCGAAACAACCGGTCGGCGAGTAAGTTCTGCCAGGGAGATGAATCGCTATCAAGGCTGGGATGGATTCAGGGAGGGATTCCTCCGTCGAACATGCAAGGAGCGACTGACGCGGGCACGACTGCTGATCGACTCGAGAGATCGACGTCTGCAGGTCGAGTGTTCGACGTCATTGCCCGGAAAACGGAGCACGCAGAAGCGGATTTCCTTAGTGTATGTATCAAGTACAAACAAACTCCTAGCTCTGCGGAGAGATTCGCTTGCAAGCATGCCTCCGAGAGGTGATCAGGCCAGAGCCGGTCACGGATTGTTCGAAGACATCGCCATCGGAAATTTGTCGATGAATGAATGAATGATCAACCAACTGACACGATGCTTCGAATGACTAGAAACAGCGAGGCAGAAGCAGTGGAGGCAACAATAGAGCAGCAAGCGTTGAAAGACAATCATTTTTGAGACGAGAATGTCTAGATCGATCTGACTGAGAGTTCTGCTAGGGTAGGTTCGAAGCTCACGAAGAAGCAGGCCCACACAGAGGTGAACACTGATGAGAAACAAGAATTCCACACATTCACGCTCACAACAACACACAAACAAACAAGCAAGCAAGCAAAAACAGACGCGTATAGCTATCACGGATAAGGGGTCGACTTATTATGCCCGCGGACATAGATACGCCGTGACAGAATAGAGAAAAATCTAAACCTGAATCCGCGCATTTTGACTTATTCTCAGGCTCGTTGAAATATCGAGAGTAGGCTTCGCCGAGACGGAGCCACATGATCTGTTCAACACGCAGATGGATGTCTAAATGTGTGAGAACCGATCAGTATTAATCGGGAGCGCCATCAGCTTATACTGCTGGGGGCAGAATATGTTTATCGTGAATGATATGTCTATCAGTGAAACATATGCGGTCTCTGAGGACCAAAATTGAGTGAGCGACATAAGTGAGACGAGGACGATTGCTCTGAGTCAAGTGATGTCTCGGAGCATTCTCGGCAAATACGTTCATACGTTTGGCTCCTTCTTTCTGCTCCTTTGTTATCTTCTGTATAGTCTATGTACGAGCATGAATATTTACCCACGTGTGAGGCAATATAGCGGCGACGAGCGGTATGTATCTAGATACTTGTGGTCTGAACGAACGATGGGGTCCTTCAGTCTGCCAGCCGAAATCTGATGGAGTTGTTCGTGCTCTACGGCGACATTCTCATCTTTCCTGGATGAGCCAGTTAGGCTACACGGATTTGTCTCGGGAACGTGGCTGCCCGAGTGCTTTTCACCGCTGCAGCGTTTCGAGTGAATTTTGTCTTGCACGGAAACATGTCGCGCGGCAAAAGAACGGAGTGCACGACAACTCGCATGTCGAGCATTCAATCTCGTAAGTCAGTTCATTGATCCGAACAAATCGGACGCAAGCAAAGCTGATCTCCAGGCAGCACGTGTTCTTTTCCTGACGAAAGGAAAGAGTCGGGCTGATTCCCGAGGTTTCATAGCTCGTGCCGTTCGTCTCTGAGTACCGATTCCGCGCTATCGTACCCTGATTCTCGAGAAGCATCCCCCGATTTCGATTGCCTGATCTATTCCGGAGGGAGTATCGATGGATTTCTCGCGCATCTAGAGAATCTCATCCGTATTCCCCAAGATCGTTATTCTGCCAGAAGCTTTCGGCATGCAGCAACTCCGTCAGACTTAGGGGCGATCGCATTGTCATGCGATGGGGAGAGGACACCGTAAGGCTCCCGGAGCACAGATTCGGACCATGCGGGATACCGTTGACCGTAGAGAAAAATACTCCATCGCTGACCTGAAGTCGACGGCGATGGGAGCGATTGGAATCTCCGCCATGCGATGAAAAACCTCAACTCGGATTCAATCCCACAGAGCACTCCCGCAAAGCCTCCTCACCGTGCGGTCCCGGAAGCTGAAGAAGGGACTTGACCGATTTGGAGCGGTTCGTCATCTGCGCGCCGGGCTCTTCCAATCGTTCTGACATGGACTGAATATATAAGCATGTCGGACACACGTGCTCACAGGGACGAGTGAGGAAAGATTCAATAGATTCGAGTGAATCACCGCACGTAACAACAAGGGAATAGGATTCTGGTAGGAGCTTGCGGAGCAATAGGAATGTGTGCTGCAGGAGAAAGGAACCCGGAGCAAGGACAATCAGAAAGTGAGATCCCATACACAAACACACAAGACGAATTGAAGACAAACAGTGAAAGCTTCGCTTGAGCACCAGTCGGTTGGTTCATTAATCAACCAACCTACACACATTTCGATTGATGGAATGTAATTAGAGAAATCGATTTTTTGTACGTCTATCTTACTCTCAATGGGATGTCTCCTCCTGACGGACCCGACCAACGCGCCGTCCGGACGGAGAGACGTCCTGGCTTCCGGCTACGGAAGTTTGCCAGTGTTTGATTGGTTTTCATGCACTTTTGCAAACCCTACGAATGATACTCATATTGATACTCATCCGACGGATCGGCTCTGATCGACGATCGACAGAACCAGGAATATGCTGTTGGTGAAGAGTTCTCATAACGATGAAGCAGTGAGACTCACCGTTGCTGCTGTGTATAGAGCCATACCAATAACTCACCTGATCGAGGAGAGATTAGCTACAGACCCAGAGCTTCCTCTCCACGCCAACGTATTCAACAATCTGAGATTATCATCACGAGCATTATCAGCAAAGAACCGACGGCTACAGGACGGCAGGAAACGCTCCCGCGGATCAGCGCACGCATGGATGGTCTCCCGCAAAATCAGATTTCGAACACACTCGCAGCTTCATCTCAACATGGGAGACTTCGGTGAACCGAGGCGAGAACTC